CTAAATGACCACCCTAAACTCTTTCTAGAATGTTCCATGATGGATTCTACGTGATCTACTAACCTAACCCTAATTCTAAAAACTTCCATGGTTCTATCTATCTATACAATTATCTTATCTATACCCTGTTATACAAATAGAAATAATAATCAATTATAATGCAATCATAAAGGATACAAATGTACCACCATTATATATAACTTTTATATATATTTTATATTTGAAGAAGCTAATTAATAAACTTCCTACCTAATTTAAGTGATTTTTAATTCAATCTCATATTCTCTTTTAATGTATAGATCTTTATTTGAGGCCAAAGTGCTCAACATCAAAAAGGTGTTGCCATAATTTTTTCTAAAGTTCCTTTCACAATCACTAGCAATATTTGGTAAAAATCTCAACCAAAGACTATTGTAGCTCCTCCAAATAGGCAATCAATATCCCAAATGTCTCTAAAAGAATGATCAATTGCCTCAAGCCAATAATGATATTACATTAGAAGTTCATCTCAAATAAAAGATTTTAGAGAAAATAAGAGTTTTATTGTGTGTATGCAAGAGTGCATGGCATTGAGGTGTGTCTATGTAATAAAAAGGAGGTACCTACCTAATTTTTTTGTAAAAGAATCTAATCAACTTAACTTAGCTTTTTTTAAATAATTATTTTTAAGAACCAAAGTTTTTAAAATCAAATTTTACATATGATCTAATGTAGGATGAAAATTTAAAAAAATAAAAAAATAAAAAAAAATTATATTTTTTATTTTTTTAAGATAAAAAAGAAATAGTTGTAAAAAGAGATGTATTCACCTTTCATAATAATTTTTACATTTTATATGTAAATATAAGATAATTAAATTTCAATTCATAAATTTAAATTTTATAATTTATTATTTTTAATATTTAATTTCTTTTAATTCTAATAATTATAAAAGCTTATATTAAAATTAATGTTCAAAAATAGTAATAATAATAATAATAGTAATATTAATAATAAATACATTGATTCAAGTAGTTATACTGTTGAATGGATCTAAAATTCTTAATGCAATTTTGCTTCAACTGGAATTAATTTAGCTTTAATACTGTTATTTAAGTATACTAGTTGAAATTGGAAGTAAAATAATTTGTTTGTTTATCGTTATATATATATATATATATATATATACATAAAGTTAAACATAAAAAGTTTCTCAATGTAACACAGTGCATGAAGATGTGACTAGACATGCACATACACAAATATAAGACATTAGCATAAAAAATAAAAATAAATAAATAAATAAATAAATAAATAAATAAAACTCACTCACTCACTCACTCCATTGTGTGAAGCCTCCACTTGATAATAACTTGACCCTCTGCATCAATCAAAAGAAGTGCATGACTAGACCCACTTCACTGTAATACAATAATGCCCCAAGCAGGATGCCATATAATGACAATAAAAATTAAAAAAACAAAAACAAATCTCAACGGCATTATACAGTCAACTGAGTACCTAACAGTGAGCAACAACATTGAGCTTCACAACCATTCAAACCATGACCACAATGTTGGGTGATATTATGATTGAGACCTGGTTTGAAAGCTCCTCCTCCTCTAAGGCAGGGTCCATTAAACCCTAAACATGCAACATAAGCCCAAAAATAAATCTAATTTTTGACCCCAACTTTAGATGGCTTAGTGAAGTCAGAACCAAGCAAATTGTACCTCATTTTGGGGTTTGACAAGTAAACCAACTGTGGTCTCTAAGTTGGTTGGTTGGTTGGCTGGTTGGTTTAGTTAGGAAAAACTTGGCCTCAGTGTTGTGAGAATTGCAGTGTTGATCCTCAAGACACAAAAAAAAAAAAAAAAAAAAAAAAAAAGATGTTTGCCTCTTTCAAAGGCATCTATTATAAATTAATCCAACTTTCACACAACTCTTGGTGAATCTATTTTATTTTTCTCTAATACAAGGTGAATGGATGTTGTGGTGAGGATGTATAGCATGTATTAAGTGTTAATTTCTTTATATATAAAAAAATTGGAATAAATTTTATTCATGAAATATATTAAATTTCTATAACCAAATAGTGATTTTACACAAATTCTCTCTCTCTCTCTCTCTCTCTCTCTCTCTATATATATATATATATATAAAAAAATTATGAAATAAGTTTAAAATTGGAGGCTAGAAAGAATTGTTTTGGTTACAAGTTAGAAACCTTCATTAGCATGGTCCTTGCTATTAAATATTATAATCTAGAAAGAATTGTTTTGGTTACAAATTAGAAACCTTCATTAGCATGGTCCTTGCTATTAAATATTATAATCTTTATTAGGATACTATTGCCTTTCAAATTGAGTGATTATTCTTAGATTAGCTGTTCAAATCAAGTTGGATTAATTTATAATAGATTATTTTAATTTTAAAATGATAGATTTATGGATGTAGTAATTGAAGGTGCACCACTCAACCTAAGGTGCTTTTCTTATTGACATTCGAATAAATGATTTTTACATTCAAATGCTTATAAAATGACTGTACTTCAAATATTTATATTCTAAACAATATTGAATATTAATTGATAAAATTATACCAAGTAGGAATAGAAAATCAAGAAATGGATTCTTTTTCTTCTTAAATAGCATTATTAAATGTTAGTTGTGATTTTTAGAATGCATCACGTTAATGTTAAATTATGTTTTTTGTACACTAATATCTTGATTTTCTTAAATATTTTAACATACTCAATTTTAGATTTGATTGAATACATCCACTTCTTTTTTGATGAAATATAGATGAAGATTAAGAAATATTTTGCTCTATTTAATAAAATTGTGTACATTAAATTATACACATTATTATGCATAACTTTTAATACTTTGGTGGTACAAGTTCCATCTGCTTATGAAAATAGATATTTTTATAATTTTTCACAATTCAACAGTTACATGTTAAGGTCATAAAATTAACATGGTAGTACATTTCTACTTATCAATTTTAGAATTATCTTTCAAAGTTGCATGTTTAAATATTCTATGTATTCATACTACAACACCAATATATCTCTATTTAAAGTGGTCACTTTGGTACCTTAGTTGTTGTTGATTTTATGCATTGCAAATAATAAAAGCTGTCTTTATAACATGTCAATTTTGTGGTTTTTTTTATATATTTATAGCCTTTTTTAAAAAATCAAAGTACATGAGATTAAATCAATTAAAATCACCACTTTATGTGTAATAATTTTATAAGAAATTTAGAAAACAACTCAAACTAAGATTATTTGAGTTTATTTTTTAAAGAAATACAATACAAAAAATAAATTTAATGACTCCCACTTTAGATCTATTTATGATTAAAAAAATGAAATTAAATACTCAGTTTTTTTTTTTCAATTAAAAAACTTCAACCACATTTCATTGCAAGACATAACCCTGCAATGAATATTCAATTTTTTATTTTTTATTAATTAGTGATAGAAAACTAGTAGATCTATTCTTTATTCTCATGGTTATATATATATATATATATATATAGTAATTTCTTATATATAATCATGGACTCAACTCACTAATTAAATAGTGTCACTCTCTAGACAAAAGTATGTATCCAATTCATAAAACAAATGTAATTATCCAACTAACCAATTTAAGCAGCAACTAATCCCTCAATTAATCATCTTATAATTTTCTAAGATCAGTCCAGCCAATGTGCACTTCAGCATTAGCAACAATTTTTTATCAATTTTTTAAAGTTAAATTATCTAAGACTATTTATAAAAATTCATGAAAAAAAAAATCTTATACTTTATTATTAATTATTTTTTTCTTATTGAGTTTTATCATTTATTTTTTCAATCTCAACATGAATCCATCAATGTGCGTTTTAAGTACATTCTACCCTCCACAAACATCACACGTCTCTGTTTTGTACATCTCATTCGACCTTGTGTACGATTGGTCCTTTTTCTGTACACTAATAAAAAAAAATAAACTCTCTCTCTCTCTCTCTCTGAATATATATATATATATATATATGTGTGTGTGTGTGTGTGTGTGTGTATATATCTATATATATATATACACATTAGTTGTTAATATTTTTAATATCGGACAGGTAGTACAAAAACAATGCCACAGGCCTGGCGCTAAGTTTGAATGCATACACACACAGGGAGGATGAATGCACGATGGATGACTTTATTATATTCATCATCTATAGCTTTCGTCCTGACCAGGACGATGGATGCGGATGATAGATGTGGATGATAGATGTGGATGATAGATGTGGATGATGAATTTATCATCCACACCTCCCTTTATTCAAGCCATGGAACAGGACCTCCACCAAACAGCCTTGAACGACCGCGAACACACGTCACCTCAGTTCCAACCTTTGATTTGAGACCTCATCCTCTCCACGGCTCCCCTTCACAAAGCGTTTTCATTCACAAAAAAATCCCACCCCCCCCAGTTCTATTAGAAGGCAATGTGTCTTCTGTATGTCACCGCAAGTGGCAATCAGCCTCTGGCCCCTCGAATTTGGAATTTGTGTGCACAAGTGGACCTATGACCGTCCTTTTGCAGACATGGCTCTTGCATAAGAGATAACCACCACAGAGAAACAGCCGTCCATGACCAAATTGCGCCCAAGCCCCAGCTATAAAAACTGAGTCCAACTGAAGCTCAATATTCATTCTAACACGTGTTTTTCTCTTTAGCCTCAATAATATCGAAACAGCCCCCTTCGTAAAAATCGCTGCAGCATCATTGGTCACACGACCTTTACCACAACGTGCTTTTTAAATATCAGGAAACAGAACGAACGGAGCGACGTCCACCAAAGCCCGCATGAGCGCCCGCCGACGGCCACTGACGGCCGCTAACTGACGCCCGCGACCGCGAACGGGATGATTAGTGACGACAGAGTGGCGTAGGCGTCGGCGGCAGCGGCAGTTCCATGCTTCACGCAGAACCTGGAAGAGTGAAGGAATGAGGAGCTTAGGAGGGAGTATCGGGGATCTGTGATGCGCCTGGATCCCACCACATCCGTCCTCTGCCACGGATCGAGCTCACAGCTCCGACGTCGATCGGCATGTGAGCGAGGTGTCGAGAGACCGCGGCGGAGTAAAGGGGGGGAGAGAAATACGGAAATTGGGGGAAGGGACAAGGGACAGGGAGAGCAATGGTGGAAGACAGGGGCCTGTGGAGGATTTTGCGGTGAAAGTGAGGCGGACAGGGATGCTGTGGTGGGGTCTTGTGTCTGCGGTCTGACTGTTCTCTCGAAGAACCCACTGGGCGAGGTCTGAGAATCCCAGGCATGCGTTTGCCTGCTGCCCCTCTTTCCCCGCCCCCTCTCTACTTAGTATTTCCGATTCTGTTCACGAGGAAAGTGTGCATGGATCCCGCACTGAGTGGGTTCTGAGCAATCCGAGGGGTTCTTCTCAGCCACATTGTGACTATTCCCCGCGCCGCCTCCTCCTCTCCCTTTTTGTGCTGCTGCTTCGTCTCATCTTGGGGGTGTGATTCGGGAGTGGGTTGAGTTGGTGGAGCGCAATGGAGGTCGTGGAGAGATTCTACGGTGAGTTGGATGGGAAGGTCTCGCAGGGCGTGAATGCATTGCTGGGTAGTTTTGGGGTGGAGTTGACGGATACGCCCACTACCAAAGGCTTGCCCCTCGTTGACAGTCCCACACCCATCGTCCTCGGTGTTTCTGTATACTTGACTATTGTCATTGGAGGGCTTTTGTGGATAAAGGCCAGGGATCTGAAACCGCGCGCCTCGGAGCCATTTTTGCTCCAAGCTTTGGTGCTTGTGCACAACCTGTTCTGTTTTGCGCTCAGTCTGTATATGTGCGTGGGCATCGCTTATCAGGCTATTACCTGGCGGTGAGTGTTCTCCCACTGTTTTGTCTCTGTTCTGTCTGTTGAAATGTAATGTGTTTTTTTTTTCCCATTTACATCGGCATCGGAAGGTCACGGTCGTTGTCACTATGCCCAAGAGTTGTGAAAGTGGAATGAGACCCCTGAGAACCTATTGATATGAAGGGGACCATTGCTGATTCGTGTTTCTTTGTTTGGAGTTTACAGGTACTCTCTCTGGGGCAATGCATACAATCCTAAACATAAAGAGGTATGGCTTGTTGCTGATCTTTTTTTTTTACATCGTTAAATCTTTCATTTCAGTGCTTTACGTAGGGTGGTTTTTCTGTTAGTACTGTAGCGAGGGCTACTTAATAGCTGTTCGATGACATCTTGATTTACTGAAGTCAAATTTCTTCTCTCACCATTGAATTCCCATTCGTTATTTTAGATTTAATGGCCGCCGCCTCCTTTTTCCTTAAATGGCGGCTATGACCTAAGTTTCACAGTTAATTTATTGGATGGTTATCATAGTTATATTCATGTCAATGTGATGAGGAGGGTGCCTTGCAGATCAATCTGAGGAATTTGTATCCTCAGAATGTAGTCCAAAGTTGAACTAATTCTGGTTGTTAACTTCCACTGCAGATGGCGATTCTGGTATACTTGTTCTACATGTCTAAGTACGTGGAATTCATGGATACCGTAAGAATTCGCCTCTTCAAACTCATTTTCTGAGATCCCATCTGAAATCAGATTTTTAAGTTTCTAAGTCTCCGCCTCTGTTTAAATTCACATTTTTTACATAGAACAGACGACGTAGTTTGTGTTGTTTTTGTTGGCTAATCTCGAGATTGTAGTTATAATTGAGAACTGAACTTTTGATTGCTCTGATCGGGGTAGGTTATCATGATACTGAAGCGCAGCACCAGGCAAATAAGCTTCCTCCACGTTTATCATCATTCTTCAATTTCCCTCATTTGGTGGGCTATTGCTCATCACGCTCCTGGCGGTGAAGGTGAGTTCTTTGCATCATGACCATCCCCTCTGTGATTGAAAACTCTATATTCAGGCTATCTAATTGATGCTTAGCATCGTGGGTGCAAGGATAACCTTCTGTACTGTCTGTGGTGAACAGCATATTGGTCTGCGGCTCTGAACTCAGGAGTGCATGTTCTCATGTATGCGTATTACTTCTTGGCTGCCTGCCTTCGAAGTAGCCCAAAGTTAAAAAATAAGTACCTTTTTTGGGGCAGGTAAGAAGTTCTTGGTCACTACGCTGCTGTAGGAACTTGCAATAATTTACCTATTTTGGCCTGAATCTGAATGTCGTATTGATCACTGTGCTTCATAATGCAGGTACTTGACACAATTCCAAATGTTCCAGTTTATGCTGAACTTAGTGCAGGCTTACTACGACATGAAAACGAATGCGCCATATCCACAATGGCTGATCAAGGTTGATTTTTTGGCTTTTTATCGTTCTGTTTTATTAATTTTCATGGTTTTAAAAATTATTATTTTTATTTCTTTTAAATCTAGGGCCCACGAATTCTTCGGACTTGTCAGCTGCAAATGTTGGTTGTTCCTGTTGGAGCAAGCACTTAAATGCTGTTAGTAAGTGAGTTTTGTCAGAAGCTTTAGTTGGGAATTATCCATGGCAGAGCTGAGCCCGACACTGCTTGCTAGCACATCAACGTAGTCTGAGTCATCACTGCTCAATCTCCATTTGTGTACATCTAACTGCGTGCAGCAGCGCTAACTGAAGTCTTTTCTATCTTGATGCAGATTTTGTTCTACTACATGATCTCGTTGCTGTTTCTTTTCGGCAATTTTTACGTACAAAAATACATCAAACCCTCTGACGGAAAGCAAAAGGGAGCTAAAACTGAGTGAGCTGTATCAAGCCATAGAAACTCTATTATGTTAGAACCTGAAGTTGGTGCTTTCTTATCTCCACTTATCTTTTAAGCAGCATCAGTTTTGAAATGATGTGTGGGCGTGGTCTGCAAGTAGTCATCAATATAATCGGCCTGAGCACTTCAGATGGATTGTTAGAACATGAGTAAAAGCGGTTATTACGGTGTTTATTTTGTACCAAATCACCGCACGGGTGAATTGAAATATTTCAGATTTGATCAATTTCATCTGATTGTATGTATCTTATATATGATTCTTGGACACTCTTAAGAAAATTTGTCATTCACATTGTATATGCAAACTGATCATTTATTGAGTCAGAACTGAAAGTTGTTATATTGTAGACTGTTGTGGGACCATGGAAAAAAAACAACATATGTTATATACATTTCTGTTAAATACGACATAGAAAATTTATGAATGTGCACTGCTTTGAAAATGAATGCGCAGCTGTCAACATCAAACAGCTACTGTTTCGTTGCCAGTTACCCATTCCCTCATCCAAGCTCGCTCATTACAACTCAAAATTCTTTAGGGCGTTGGATGGATTAGCAAGTTGACTTTCCAAGTACTCTGGCCAAGTAAAGGGTCGATACTTGACAGGGTGCGCAGCGTCTACAAGCTCCGGAAGAGGAGCAATATGATCCCAATCTGGCGCTTGCACAAAATACGCAATTGAATAACGATCAGAGTCTTGGTTTACAACCGCTTTGTGAAGCACACTCTTGCATATATCATTGCTAATTACCTGTACATGAAGATAATCATTGTCAGTACATTTTGTTCAATTGGAAAAGTTACTGCAACATATTCATAGAGCGAGTTTTGATGAGCACAAAGTGAAGTACCCAACCTGAAGCATATTTCCAGCATTGACAGCGAACGCGTTCGGGTATGGCCTGACAGCAACCCACCCTTCGTCTTTCTTCACTTGTAAGCCTCCGACATCACCTTGATGCAAAATAGTAAAGAAATTGGCGTCATGATGGGGAACCAATCCCACTGTCTTCGACGGATCTGGGCATGGCGGATAATGATTCAGTCGCATGAGGGCAGGCTCCTTGGGCATATATTTGTCGTAGGTCTCCGGATATACTCCCAAGCTGTTTAGTATCAGGCGCGTCAGCCTCAATCCCAGCTCTCTGAGAGCTCCGACGTATTCCTCCACTGATTCACTGGCAATATTTCACCTGTAAATTAGAAGTCCAGATTTAATGAAGTCACACATTCTTGGATAAATTTGAAAATCGAAGGAGTACCTGAACTCTGTTTGGCTGTCGGTATCCTCAGGCCATACAGTGCTAGAAACTCTTGCGATATGAGGTTTGTCCACGAAGAGACCTTCACTCCAGTTCCTCCTCTGGGTCTTCAGTTTGCTAGATTTGTAAAACCCATAGCCGAGCAACCGATCCCCTTCCAATTTGCATTCGAGCTTTTCCTTAGTCTCCAGAGGCACGTCGAAGAACTTCTTCGAGGCGGCCTGGATTCTATCCAAGATTCGCAAATCCACTCCGTGATTCACCACTTGGAAAAACCCATAGGTCGCACAAGCACCTCGAATTCGGTCGTAGATCTGTCTGCGCTGATTGTTGTCGAGCTCCTCAAACCCACCCAAATCAATCAGAGGTATTCCGTCCTCTCCAAATTCCTCATGCCCAAGCATAGGGCCCAGCTCTTGCTTTGGCCACAGATATGCATCAGGCACGGCATTGTCTGTCACGATCACATCCCGCAGCGCTTTGGAAAATACCTCACTCTTATGATCCCTCTCCCTCTCCGTCGTCATGTCTACCACCTGTCTACTAACTCGAGCTCTCGCAGCTACGCTCAAGCACAGATAAACTTCAAATCGCAGATCGATTCTCGCCGAGTGACTGTCAGCTGTGAATGTGTTCGTCATTCACAAATTTCGGCACATTTATAGAGGAAAAAACACCGACAGCCGTCATAACATGCAAGTCAATTGCGTGGAAAGCAAGGCATTTGTACAGGAACACATGGTACGCGTTCAGATCTGTGCTACCTGTTTGTGGCGTGGTCGACAAGGCGTCAACCACCGCAACACGCACCACGCCTCACATTCCTGTGGAGAGATCCTGCTCAAGTTCGACTTTCCCAGTAACATCAGGCTGAGGAAACTTGGCTTTTTGTAGTGATCTTTCAGCCCCAACCTACCGAGAAAGCAGGCAATGTACTCCGATTCTGGGTTTGTCGTGTAGCGATGCCTCTCAGAGACTGCGTGATCCCCATTTTTGCTGCCTCCCTTCCACTACAATCGACGCATTGGACGCTGGCACTGATATATCGATTCCTGCAAACCCTAATCGGACATTGCGGATCGTGTCCACGACGACGGCAGCGTGTCTTCATCAGCGCGATCCGGTTTTTCGTAAATCCTAAAAACAATTCGGTGATGCCGTCCATGTGATTTGATAAAATGGAATGTTTTGGAGAGTTATTCTATGTGGAAGGCTCTACATTGCATGTGCATCAGAGAATGAAATTGTGGGCGTTAGAGTAGAAGAATGATATAGAACAATGGTGGATTGCCAAGAATAAACCATTAAGCATTGGAGAGAACTTTTTAAGACCAAGATTCATTCTTTTCTAAAATTTTACAATTTTTACAATTTTTATGTTTAGAAAGTTTTGAATTGCCTACTTCTTTTGGGCACCCTAAATTTAAAAATAATGAGTATAGCCCAACTGGAAGTAATACAAGGGCTTAAGGGTGGGTGTAGCTCTAGGAAAGATACTTTGTATCAAAACAATGTAATTGGAATAAACAAATGATGGTTGATTGTCTTCATGCCATCACCATTAACAAGTTTTGAACTACCATTCAACCAAATTGTAAAGAGCTGCTTCTATAATGTCAAACCTTTTCAACAAATATATATATATATATATATATATATATTTATTCTTAAAATTATTTTATTAAAACGGAGAACATTGTTTGTCTATTCTATAGGCAATAGATGGGCACCTTTTTTAGGACATAATTTTGTATTCTATAATCAACCTTTGTGGATAAAAAAAAATAGGAGAATATTAAATCAATCCACCTTTGTTCTTATGGTCATTTACCATGTCATATATTCCTCACCAATCTAATAAAGGTCATTATTGGATCATGATAAACTTATCTTCAACATCTATCAAATGTATTCTAAAGACAAACTTGCATTAGAGTATTGGAGCCATTCCACTCTATCTCCATAATTAGCTAAAATATCCACAAAGTCCTCAACTCCCTATCAACGTTTGCAAATGAAGAAAAAAACACTCTAGAGATGCAAAAATTGATGGATTAGAAAGAGATTGGTGAAGAATATGTGATGTAGTATATAAGATGGGCTAATTTTAGATTTACTTGGATTGATTTAATATTCTCTAAAACTTTATTAGGCAATATTTATTTATACTCTCAATCTAAGAGCTTGTTTACAAAGGTAGATAAAATCCATGTGGATCAAGGATTAAACAATAAATTAAAGAACTATTGACATTTCTAATTAGTTCAATTAAAGTAAAAATGATTATTTTCAATGGAATACATAGTTGTTTTCACTACCTTCTAATGAATCCATATCAAAGGTTTTTATTTTATTTTATTTTATTTATTATAATTAGAAGAAAAAAAATAGCAAGTTAAGATGGAATCCATGACATTTATGCTCACTCTTTATGCCCCCAATTACTATTCGTTTGTTTTTTTATTTATTAAAAATAAAATATTTTCTACCTTCCTCTTATCTCACTATTAAATTACACTCTTTGATGGTTTTTATATTATCTTTCTAATTTTACATTAATTTTTCTCTAAGGCATTTGCCTACTTTGACACTCCTTAATGTTTTAGATTAAAACCAAGTAAATATTTATTTGAAGTGGATTAGTGAAGTTTTTGTATGTAAATATTATACATGTGTTTTGTCTAAAATTCAAATTTAAGTTTAAATTTTCATGATTTAAAATGAAATATATATATATATATATATATATATATATATATATATATATATATCTATATATGAATGAAATATATATATTAATTTTAAAACTTCTAATTGGTTATATAAATTTTGGTAGATTTTTTTATTCTTATTAAATAAATCCTATAATTAGGTTTAAATTTATTTTAAAACTTATTAATATTTTACCAAAAAAATATGTAAATAATAATAACATAATTATTGATTTTTTGTAATTTTATCATTATAAATCTTTCTTTTAATCACTGAAGAAGTAAGGTACAAAAATATCAAATTTAATTGAATTTTAATTATGATTTGTTAATATGGTAATTTTTTTTATGAATTTTTATACAGCAATTTGTTTTTGAAAAATTTAAATTGCAGCTTCTAAAACATTGGAACTATATAATTTCATCTTCTATTTTACATACGTATATTCAGTATTATATTTGACACATCATTTTTAAGTTGCAAAACTTGCAGTCTTTTTAAAGAATGAAAATTTAAAATCGTAGTTTTAATCAATTTTGATTTTCTCTTTTTTCTATTTTTTTTTCTTATATAAAACTTTTCCTTTTTTAATATAAAATATTTCACATAGAATTTATTTTTACTTACCGAAATATGTATCCAAATTGTAATTATTATTTTTATATATTTTAAATTAAACATAATATTAGCTAAATGAAAATAAGTAGATTTACCACTCAACAACATAATTATTAAATCAATCTTTTGTGAATTGAAAAAATTAAATTTTTATATAATAAATGTATGTAAGTTATATTAAACTAAATATTTTATGCTTTAATAACTTCTTTTTTTCTATGTTGAATATAAACAAAAAGATATACTAATCTAATTTTTATTTTCTTACTTTCTTAAAATAAAAACTAATTCAATGATATTATTTTAATTTTAGAAAATTTAAAAATCATATAAATATAAATATTAAATAAAAATACTACAAAAATTAATAGAAGTGGATTTTATGGTATTTTTATAACAAAAAATATTGAGGTATAAAAATAGGTAAATATTAAATTGACCCATTTAAATCTTAAATCAACTTATTATTAATAAAATACATATAGTTATTTAACATTTTCATCATTTGGCATCCTCAAAAAAATTTCTTTTCACTATATCTCTTGTATCACTTCTTCTTTATAATTCACCTCCAATGCCTCGTCAATTTGCCTCCAATGTTAAATAATCTTTCTGCTACATATTTCTATCTTTATAGCTGATCACTCATACTCAAATTCTCTACTCTTCCTTGGAGCTGCTCCATTACAGTCCTTCCCAAGAGTTCCATTCTCTATCTCTCTCATCCCCTTGCAAAATCAACACATCACATAGTGCAATATTAAAGTATCAATAAATGAGTGCAAAGCCCTAGGCACTATAAGAGTGGAGTAGAGTGGAGGCATGTAGGTCAATTTAATATTCTTCTAAAAGTATTCATAATTTTTTCAAAAATACTAACATAAGATTTTCTATAATAATACTTTTAAAAATTAAATCCATATTTTTATATAATATTTTTGAGAGATTTTGCAAAAACATCTTTTGACATCTATAGATTTGTAAAACAAAATTAGATATAAAAATTAATAAAAAAAATACATAATTTTATGAATTTCTTTTGTGATATTTTAAGCTTTAAAAATAATAATGTAAATATCTAAGATGACTAATTAAGATAAAATAACAGACTTCATATTTTTAGATATTTTTAATAGATGTCATAAATTTCGTGACCTCCAAATTTTTGTTTAGTGTTACTTGTCATAATAAACAAGTCCAATTGCACAAGGTCAGCTAAAAATTTGAGAGCGACAATCAAAAGAAAATAAGAAAGATACTTATAGTATTGTCACTAAATTGGGAGGTTTGCTCGAGCTTGGGCCAGGAAGGTAGAATACTTAAAGATCGGGTAGTCAATACATTAATTAGTCATGAACTAGTGCAAAGAGTATGATGGTAGTGCTAGGCCAAAGGCCATGTGTTTTCAAAGTCTATACAATAAACAAGGTTCATTACTGAATTGGTGTATGTGTATATATTAGTTCTATATACTTTACAAAGTTTTGTCTTATGCTTGCTTGTTATCCTAATAGCTCAAGTAACATTTAGAACAATTATATATATATATATATATATATGTGTTTAGTAGACTTAGTTTTTTATTTAGCTTTAGAAAAAATTTAAAACACCAAATATCCTACATATATATTTTAAAAACAAGTCACTATTATTTGAATAGAAGATCTAATGATTGTAATACTAATAAAAATAAAAAAATCTTATACATATAATTTTAATCACATTAAAATGAAGCTTTATGTATTTATAATTTAAGTATGACTTAAAAATCAAATTTTATTATTAAAATTGTTCAATTTTAAGTGTAAAACAGTGATGTAGAAAGACTATACTAATTATATATATTTTGTGTAATATTATTTTTTTTATGAATGTTAAATTGTGTTTAATGTTTTTTATTAAAAACTTTAAATCTATAAATCAAAATTAAGATTCAATTCAAATTACAAGTATTAATTTGTGTATGTATGTGTGTATATATATATATATATATATACATATAATCTACTTTTACTTGTTTACTTCAATTTTGTTAAATAATATTTATAAACAACAAATAAGATAATTCTCCAATAATTATGTATTAACTTTTGTATCATAATAAGATGCCAAATAGAGTTTTTTATAATATTTAATTTCTACACACTAATTTTAACAATCAACTATGACAAAATCAACAATAATCATTTTAAAAAAAAAATAGAGTTCAAAAACACTAAGCACCAATAACTAAGAAAAATTGCACCTTTCTCACGACTGCTATTCAAAATACACAATTGGGAATAGAACAGATGTAAAACCAAGTATTTTTGGCCCCTTGTAGTTTAGTTTTTATTTGGTACTTAAACAACTTCTTCACTTAAGTACTAAATCTAGTGTGAGAAAACAATTGATTGAAAATCTTCATGAGTTTTTACATAAAATATTTTGGTGTGAAGGATTGCACAGGGGGTTCTCCAAAATCGGAACAGGATTTTAAGAATCACAAGAATGTTCCAAAACGAACACTGTCCTATGACATCACCCACCTGTCACAATACTATTCCTAATCCTATTCTGCCTTCGACACAATACTTGAAGTAGGGACCACTACCAAGAATGACAAATGTCCAGTCAATATGTCCAAAACTTTAAAACTTCCTTAAGCAAACTTCTACAAAACACTGAATGGCTGGTAACTTCGTTAACACCTTCACTGCTGCATCCAGGAAACTAATGTGCTAGGAGATATCTGAAGTAGTCACAACCCTTAACAGTCAAATGAAAAATTCAACGTGAGCTACTCATGTGAAAGAAAAACTGCTCGCCTCTTTTTCAAATGTCAACTATCACAGACACACAGGTGTATTAAACCCATCCAATGAATTATGGGCCCAATAATTGGATAGCAAATTAACAAATAATCAATATACAAGCAGACTCCTGCAATCGGAGACCAGTTCCCATCTAAAGCAACGACACTCCTCTACCTCTTAAACCAACTCCCGCGTGCTCACGAAGTTGCTACTAGAAACGTACAGGACCAGAAGAAATGTAACAAAAAACTAATCACCGTTCACATACGTTTTCGATAGGTAATATTGTTTCTCACTCTCCTCCTTCTTCTGGTTCCGCTTCTGCACAACACCCACAATCACAGAAAAACTTTTTAGTGTATTTACAGTTGTCCCCCGTCACTACACTTACTCAGAAAAATCGACTGATGTGATTATCCAGCAAACAAAATCATTCCATACCCTGTAAGCTTCGTGGTTGGTAAGTATGCGACTGATAATGGTAGACGTCGTGATATTTCGAGGACTCTTAATTTCTGCAAAGATTCCAGCAGCCTTGGCGGCTTTGTAAGGATCGATCTCCCTCTGTCCAGATACGAAAAATTGCTCAGCATTTCTCAGTTATCGCATGTATGTGCAACCAGGACATGGCTCCGGGAAAATTTTCAGAATCTCTATGAATATAAAATATAACGATACAAATACCATCTAAACACTGCACAACAGCCTAAGATTACGTAGCACATCTTTCATTAAACAAGACATTATGCAGTCTTCGCGTTTAAAACTACATAATCTCAATGTTGAAACGCTTACATTCCTCAACTCGTTCTCCTCCGCACAACTTCCATGCACAACCAGCGAAATATTAAAGGTTGTTATCTGCATTGACAGGTCGAGAAGCAACGCAAAATTCGTTAGAAATTTCACCACTGTAAAATTGGACGTCTGCTGAAATTGTAGTTACTGTGAAGAACTAACTCCATCAAAACCGCCACTGAACAATAGAATAAAACACTCCAAAACCGCAACATTATAATGACCCAGCTACCGTGACGAAAAGTCAAGAATGTACCATGTCTTTGGTCACTTCCCATGGTGCCCCAATGATAACTTCGTCTACGTAACGACATGCCAACACGCTCAGGCTACGCTCATGCAAGTGCATGATTGGATGATTTAGCCCGCGATTCGCACTGTTGCCAAACAAATACAATACTTGCAATGAGTCCGCTGCCACCCACACTAATCTGGCTCTGCCTAAATATTGCTCTGGACTCCACATTCAATCGACTTTCAACCATCAAACACGATGTCGTGCATGCCTAAACACCAATCAAACATCGAAATATTCTTTTGAATAAACACAAGAAATGAAATAATTTAGAAAGAACAGCAAAACAGTATCGAACCTGACGATTTGATCGCTGTGGATGCCAACTAGCAGAAAGTCACCCATCGCTCTTGCAGCCTTCAGAGTCTGCACCAAGGACCAGTCTTAGCGACAAAATCTAGCTTTCATCCAACATCTACCAACACGAAACCAGGATGGAATTCATGCAGTAAAACCACAACGAAACACAAAATGTGGCTTGGACAATGAAAAACATTCCGCCTGGTGAAAAATGCGACTTAACCTCATACGATGATACCCACCACAAACACATCATCACATGTCGACGTACTGCACAACAAGGGTTTCGGCCACTTAGTACCTCCACGTGACCAGCATGGAATAGATCAAAGGCACCATCCATGTACACAATTCGTGCGTCTGGTCGTGGTCCTTTCCCGTTCGAAAACTGCACTATGCGCCGAGAAGTCGGCAAGAAATGCGAAACACGAGTACCAACACCACCACTAGTGCCTGGACTGCCGCCGTGCCCGTGACTGAATTGTCGTTGCAATGATGCGTGCACGGGAGATTCATTCGTGGGTCTATCCCGAACACACAACAGCATCCTTCCTGTTGCCGTAAAAACCCATCATATTAGAACTCGTTCATTGTCCAACTGCAATTTGGCGAGGCTACCAAGGCCACGCTGTCTTCATAAAAGTTGCTTGAACTTCCACAATGTTGTTATTTTCACAGGTGGAATTCCTTGGCCTACTCAAAATCGCAAACTATAATGTCAGGCGTGAAGTAAAGTACCAACGATGTCCGTGCTTGAAACTCCTTCTGTTCGCTTGATCTGTTTGTAACGACCTGCTTTCTTCGCATGTGCATACGCGTCCGACCCGTCGGGAAGAAGACAGGGATCATCACCATGAATGATGTAATCAATTTTGTATTCAGTGAACAACTTGTTCATGAACTCCGCATTGATCTCGTAAGGGGCATCCTGAATCACTTCGTCCACCCACTTCACTGAGCTCACCATCACCACTCTGCAAACCTCCGATCAAATCAAATTCCTGCTTGCGAAATAAGGCCATTTCTGTAATCTTTACGTAATGGGTAACGCAGGTCCACTCAACCAATCAGCTTCTACTGTATCAACCTCTGATTCCCGATTCAAACTCATGACACGTACACACACGTTATTGCCGGGGGGAAAAAATTAACGTTCAAGACCGTTGAGAAAGAATGAACGATGAAGCACTGCAAACTCATCTGGGCTCCAGAATAGAGCACATTCGACATTCGAGCAGCCAAGCCTGGAAACCCAACCCGCAGTGGCAACTACTGCGTGACCCATGACCACACACGTAATAGTGCCTCGCAATGAAGTATAACTGAAAATCCACTCATCAGCTACGTATTCCCCCTTTCCACCTCATTATGATTCAACTCACAATCCCATTCTCTACTGTGCGCCCGTGACACAACACGAGTCCGCTGATTGGTAACTTTCCTGCAACAACCACGGCATACACCTACGCATAATTCACAAAATACAAACCAAGGACCTTCATTATACTGCAACCCCGTCCCTAATATCTGCATGAAGTCCTGCAGCATACGACCGCCAGCTGTTAGACACCCGCAATACTCCTCTTTGCTCACCTTTCGTCCATCGACATGACGGGAGGCCCCTTGTTGGCTTTGATTTCTTCGTCGCTAATTACGCCCACAACAAGCTCGTCGCCCAGAACCCTAGCCTGGCGCAACGCATTGGCATGCCCGTAGTGCATCATATCGAAGCACCCGTCCATGTAAACTCTCACCTTCTTCTTTTTCTTCCTATTGTTATTCTGTGGAAACAACCCAAATGCCAATTCGGGCAGCGGGGTCAGCCCCACTACCCGACCAGCCATCCCGACCACAGCAGCAGCGATGGCCATCGCGCCCAACACTTTCACCACCCCAAGCCCCTCCGCAACATGCCAGTCTCCCTGCCCCATCTGTAAAACCGCGACTGCAACTACCAATCTGCACAAATTTCACCACTGAACTCCTCCCTTGTCTTCTCCTTCCCTCTATCGCTCCAGCGTCAGGGAAACAATAGCCCCGAGTAACTGCGCTACTGCCTACCTCCGGACATGGTAACGTGCTCCGATACACCCAAGTTCCTTCTAATTGCCATCATCTCTACTCACCCCTCCGCCAGAAAAAAATTTAAAAAAAAAAAAAAATGAAGGAAAAAATGAAGGAAAAAAAAGAAGGAAGAATTAAACAAAACAAAACAAAACAAAACGAACAAACGACACTCTCGCGCTCCGCATACCACTGACCATCCAATCGGCTTCCTTGCCACAAACTCCCCGCAGAAACTTCAAAAAGCAATCGAACCCACAAAAACCCAAAATCCACAATAAAATGCGAGAGCCGCGATGGTTCACAGATACGAGGCAAACCCTGCCACCTATACCGAGAAAACCCACAACCAGGAGCACCCAAATCAATGGCGACCGCTGCCGTGGAAACAACCAAAAAACAATCGCCAACCAGATCGAAGCCTTGAAGGCAAACAGAGCTCGCGAGTCGCGACCTGTGCACACTTTGCGACCTCCCAATCGACCTCCCTATCGACCTCCCAGCTGTCCAACCTACAAGGCTCCTATCAACCTGCCTACCTACCTACCTGCTTCGATTCCAGGCTAGTCTTTGTGGCAGCTCCTCTGGCCTCCCCTTTTTATTACTTGTAGTGAGATACTACTGGCACGTTTCACCGTCCTATTTCCATTGCAACACCAAATTTCTTAACTTTATATATATATATATATATTTTTTTTCATCCTATCATCCTGCGTTGTTGTTAGATTCGAATAAATGTATTCTCAAGAACTCTGAGCCCGAGCTTTTGCTGGATTTTGAGCATTTCAGTAATATCTCTTCTTCTTCTCTTTCTTCTTCATTTCAATTGCATTTAAAATGCAATTGAAATACTAGCATCCACATATTCCCTCAATTATTCCATTTTGGAATCCTGAAAGAAATGCCTTTTTTTCCTTCTTATGGAGTGCTTAGAAACTGGCACCAATTTCCTGTATGTGGGAGAGAGCTTCTTCGCCACATAGATGACAAACGTTTGAGCTCTTGGATGAGATGGATCCATAGCCCGGTTCATCCTCATGGGTGCACTATATCTTCATGGCTCCAAAGTGAAAACTGCTGGTTTCCTATGAACAAGACCACTTATGGGCCTTTAGACTTATTGCTCGGTTTTTTTTTTTTTTTTTTTTTTTTTTTCATTTTTTTTAAAAATGTTTTCGCTTCGTTGTCAGCTTGGACAACTTTGGATTTTGTTTGTGAGTACTAATCAAGTTTGTGTATGAAATCTGATTTCTGATTTGGTGAGTAACAGTCATTTTGATATTCAAATGGGCATGGGGTTTGTTGCTAAGACAAGAGATTAGCATGCTTCTTGGCCTTTTCAAACCTGGGTTTGTACTCCATTCAATTATTAAACAGTTGAACAGTCAGCT